ACCCTATACCAGAAGAAATCAATAATAATAGAGAACGACTTAAATAAGGATTTAATGGAATTTATTAAGAGTATTTATATATTTATATTAAAATTATTTAGAGTTTCATCATTGTTTGCTAGTAAATTTGTTAAAGAACTTAATGGTGATTTGGAAACAAATACTGATGAAATTAAGAATTTTTTACACACACCAGAATATTCATAAATCTTATTACCTTATTTTTATGATTTAAATTAGGCTATTGAATTATTTTATGATACTATCATAGCCACATCGATAGACATTTTGGAATTGGATTATCAAAATTATTTGATTTATACTATTATATATGGGTTTAGTGTATCAACTATATTGTTTTATGTAATAATTTATAAGACAAGGAGATTGCAAAGATAAATAAGAGCAATTCGTCAAGCATTAATATTATTACCACATGAAAGTTTATTGGATGTTTAAGTTTATAGTGCTATAAAAAGATTTGAATAAGGAATGTGAAATAATATTTAATATTTAATTAAATAAAATTATTAATATTTTTGAAAAGAAAAAAAATGGAGGTCTCTATTAATTATTTAATTAAAATATATATATATATTATATGATTATCCAATAGGAATAAGAATATATAAAATGCTTCAATTTAAAGTTGATAACAATAGAAATCTAAAAAATATAATGAAATATGTACTTTTTTCTTTGTAAATGTGAATATTTAATGAATAGTGATTAATCACTATCATAAAATTCATTCTTCTGATAACTAATTAAATCAGTTTCATAATCAATGTTATCATTTGAATATTTTCTTGAAGTCTAATATTAAGGATTTAGAGATAGACATTATAAACTTCCTTAAAATATTAAAATATAATTTACCTTATAAGGATGCAACAGTTTGTCTCTTATTTTCTTCTCTACCATTAAATGTATTTCTACTTGATAAAGGAGGAGCCAATAAATTACAAGAGCTAAAATTACAATTAGAGAGTACTTTTATTAATATAAAATTCCTGATAGTTATTTTTCAATTGACTTTTTCATTTCAACTGAATTATGTGGAATTAATGAATCAAAATGAGTAGATGATCTTACTTCAGTCCAATCATAATATCCATCTAAATTAAGTTTTAATGAATCTGCTGCCTTCTTCAATTCAAAAGTAATCATCTTGTAATTTGGATCTGCCTTGAAGGACAATTAACGAATATAACTTTATTTATGTTACAAATTACTCAAATATCTTTTAAAACTCTTTTGGTTGGTCCCTAAATATTTCATTTTACATTAATAACTTCATTTCACCTACTTTTTTTGTTCTTTCTTTATCTGTAACATTTTACAAATTCTGCCAAGGCAACTATCTTTATATTAAAATAATAATACCCTCTTATAAAATAGAGTATGATATACATCATTGATTCTAGATCATCCTTTCTACTTAATTCATGGCCTAAATGAGCTGCTATAGATGCATAACGAGTAGTACCCAGAAAGGATCGTTATTCACGAAAGGGCCTAAAATAAACTATATAAATACATATGATGGTTATTGGCATCTTTATAGATTTTACTTATACCGAAATCGATTAAATATATTTTACCATTGTCTTTTCCAGATCCTAAAACAATATTTTCTGGTTTAAGATCACGATGTACAACACCTTATTAATGTATTTTTTCTAGCACATCAATTAATTATATCCCTATTAATAAAGCAGTCTTCAGTGTGAATCGCTTCAACTGCTTAAAATGGTACTAAAGATCTTTTCCTAACAACTACATCACCAAGATTTTATCATTATTTTCCTCTCCAAACCATAATAATTATGGAACTCCTTCAAGAGTACCTAATCTCTTGAATATTTAAACTTCTCTATCTAGTGATCTAACCTCTTCATTTTCTTCTTTTTCAATCTTTATTGCTACCTCCTGTTTATTAATTTAATCGAGTCCTTAATAAACAATTCCAAAAGACCCAGATGATAATTTTTTGTGAACAACAAATTAATTGTTGAAGATTTTGTTTTAAAGTAGCATAAATAATTATTTTAAAAGATCAATTGCATTAAAATACTATCTTTATTTCAAATTTAATTAATTGAATACTAAAATTAAAATAATGGATTATTATGAGGATTAATTAGAGGAAAAAGAGTAGATGCTATAAAAGGCTGCTTAAATTATTGAAAGTTTAAAATTAGATGTAATTAAATTAAATCACACATAAATTAGTTTCAAAACTTATTAATTCAATATTAGAAATGTGAGACAGAGAAAACTTAAATTATAGCTTCCATTTCAAATTGGGATCAAATATAATAAATTGAAAAACTCAAATTGTTATTGACTCAAGAAATCATAACATTTCATCCTGAACAATACAAAATTCCATTAACTTAATTTAACTATAAAAATGAATTAGAATTATCACTCTAAAGAGAAGCTAAATTCAAAGATTTTCTTTTTAATATTAATGAAAATGTTAAATTATTAATAGATTCTTATACTAAATGTATTGATGAACCAATTACATAAGGAATATAATAAATATTGTTTGAATTTGAAATTTGGGATAAATGTTAAGAATAAAACAGTATTTTATAATTACAAATTGCAGAACATCAAATTCTAACTTATACTAAATAAATTTCTACTCATTAAGAAATTTCAAATATATATAATCTTTTATTAGAGAATGATTAATAAAAAGAGCTCTAAAATTAAGAATATATTTACAATTAATAATTATAATAAATATTAAATGTCATTTAAGAAAATACATAGATTACTTAAAAAATGACTTAGAAGATTAATGAATAATAATTAAAAATTAAAGAAAATAATTAAGAGATTGTTGAACTTAAAAAGTAAATAGAAGAGTTAAAATTATTAAATGAATAAATAAATAGTCAGAAAGAAGAATTGTAATCAGCTTTAAATTAGTCTAAATAATAACAATAAAAATTATAATAATAAACCATAGAATATTTATAAATGATAGATGAATATGAAAGAATTTTTAATTCAGAAAAAGTAGATGGAGAAGAATATAATAAAGTTACTGAATTATTTGAATAATCTTTAATTGATCTTGAGAACTTATAAACTAAATATGAAAAAAAGGAACTCTAAGTTATAGATTTATAATAATAATTAAAATACAAATAAATACAATTTGATAATACTTTAAAAGATATCAAAGAATTATTAGACAAATATTAACTCTAAAAATAAGATAATATTCTTCATAAAATATATTAAATTTTTAATAAAGGAAAATCTAACTGTTAAAATATTCCTCCTAATTAACTTTTATTATAACTTTCAAAATCACTTTAAAAAAGAAGTGCTACTCCTTAGAATGCATAAAAGATAATTAATTGATATTTACTTTACATCTAAATATTTATATATATATATTTTAATTTATTATGAATACATTAAGTTCTAATCCTAAAAAAACTATGTTTTACGCTGCTGCATAAAGTAAATTACTATCAAAATTTTAGATATGTTAAATTCAAATCAATCCTCTATGCAAAATTTAAAACGCAGTTTATTTTAATTAGCCATGTTTCCTTCAAGTCATCAAAAGGATCAATTAAATTTATCTTTGAATAATAACTCTGATAGAGCATAAGCAAATTATTCCCTTCCAAGAAGAAGCAATTTATTCTAAAATGATAGGGATCGTTCCTTATCATACAAATAAAATATATCAATGGAATAAAATGGATCAGTGGAGAGATTATAAAATGCTTATAATATAAAGGGACATTTTTAATTGATGAATGAAGATCCAAATTAAATAGTAGAAAAAGAATAAAAAAAATTAGAGTATTCTTTTTTAAATTATGTTTCAAATAGGTTGAAGGAATATTTATTAAAATAAATTGAGGAAAAAAAGAACCAATAGAAATATGAATAAGAAAGAAAAAGAATAGAAGATGCTAAGGCTGAATAATTAGTATAGAAACAATTAGAAGAAATGAGAGTTAGATAACATTCTAAATTTGAAAATTAAAATATGTAATAATCTTAAGGTAGTATTTGGTTGATATATTATTATATAAGAAAAATCCAGCATCATCAATATAAACAAAGGCAATAAAATAATTATCTGTGTCACCTCAAAAAGAAGGCATATTTATGTAAATATATAAACAAAAATAATAAAATATTGTATCATAACAGAGTGATATACTTGAAAAAATTAATCATCTTTAAGTAAATAATAATTTAATATATATTTAGAATGATATAAAATCTCTATAAATTAATTAATAATAATAAAATGATGTAAATTCAGTAAGAAATAATATTAAATTAATGATGAAAAAATAAAGTTCTATGAATCCTGAATAAATTAACAAAATTTAAAAAAAAGATATATAATAATTAAAAGAAAGATAATTAGATTGTGAAACTATTTTTATTCCAGCTAATTTAAAATTAAATACTGATGTTGATATTTTATAATAAAATGATAATACTATTTAAGATGTAAATAAATCAACAAATAGTTTGAATTTTACTAAAAATTCTTAAAATTAATTACTTTTAAATAATACATCTATTATTAGTAATTAAGTCATAAATAATTCATAATAATAAGTTAATAATTAAATAGTAAATCATTCAAGATTAACTATCAGTTAATTATCTTCTAGAAATAGATCATTATCAAATGAAAAATAAGTGTTACCTGATCCCATATAATCAGACAATACTCAAGAAGAAACTAAATTAATTTAAAAACAAAAAAAAGTATAATTTAATTGTAAATTTAGCCTAAATAAAATAATTTGTAATTAAAACTACCACATAGAACAACAATGTTAATGTAAATTCCTTCAAAAAAGTAAATATATAAATATAATTAATTAGCTAAATTTCAACTTAAAAATCAGAAGAACCAAAATCATCATAAAGAAATTGATTATAAATTAATCTAAAAATAAATAGAAGATATAAATATTTTATATAATCATTTTAACTCATTTCTTTTTTATTTTAGGAGTACCATGATTTGAAATACAAATTTAACTTGGAGTAAGATGTCTTGATCTTAAACTCCTCATAGAACTTTTTAAATCTTCAAAATTCTTAGTACTATTAGCTAAATTTGTTCTACCTTTTACAAAAAAATTTTGTTGTTAATTCAAATGAATTGCTTTTTTCTTTTAATTACTATTATTAAATGTCATTTTAGTTGAGAACATTTTTTTAGCTAATTCAATTAATAATTCATTTTATTAAGGTGTATTTCGAGCTGTAGTTAAACAAGATTTAGTGAATTCTATATTTCCAAGTGATGCTTATCTTTATTTTAATTAAGGTGGTTTTTTTATTGTTTAAATTGGTATATCAATTTTAGATGATTATTTATGAGCTGAAGATTATCTAGATGTTTGAATAGGTTTTGTAATACGTTAAGTTAAAGGAGGAGAGTTAATTTATTTTGTTTATTTTATTTATTTTTCAATTGTTTTTTTTAAAGTTCCTTAACAATGTTAATATATAAGTCTTTAAGCTTCTTGGGATGGTTTAAATTAAGTTTAAATTTGTTTGTTTTAATTAAATATTTAAAATGGTTTAGGTTTACTTTTTGGTTCACCTATTAATTGGACTAAGTCTTTTAAAACAGTTGTATTACTAATTCTAGATATATCTGTAGATTAAAGTTTGAGATCTTTTAATAAATACTTAAGTTATGTAACAGAACAATCATCAGATGAATCTTTGACTTTTGTAGGAGTTTATTGTTTTATTTCTTCATAAAGACCTAATTCAATTTTAACTTTGCAATATTAAATTTCTCTAACTTTTTCCATTCTCTTATTTATAATCTTACAATGAAAGTTTCTTGGAATATTGATATGGTATTTATAATATTCCAATAATGATGGAATTCTATCATCACTTTCAAAATATCTATAAAATCTTTTGTAATGATATTATTATTTTCATTACCTTCGCATATATTCTTTTTCATCTCCAAATTAAGCATTATCTTTGTTTCGAATAGTAGATTTTACTTACTTCTCATCCAAAATATCATTAATGTCTTTTTCATAAAAAAAGTTTTATGACTGAGAGTATTTGGAATATAATGCTCTTTTGAGAATTAACTGAAAAGATCCATCAGTCTATAATTTTTGGCAAAACATGCATTTTTTAACTTACATTTATATTTTAATTATTTTTATATTTATTATAATATAAAACATCAAACATCTTTACCTAGAATACCAAGAGTATTTTAAATGGTTCTAATAACTGATCTTAAATCATCAACTACTTTATCTTATTAATCAAATCTATTATTTATTTCATCTTCAATATTATCAATTTATAAATGAAATTCTTTAACAGTATTATTTCTAAATCCTTCTGAATATCTATTCTCAGATTATAATGAATGATTAATATTTTTAATCAATTCTTAATGTTTCTATTCTTTTTCTATAGATTCATTTTTTATAGCTTAATCAATTGATTATGAAGTATCCTTTATTGTATTTAATATTTTTTTTTCATTTGCTACTCTTGTTTACTTTTCCAAATCAAAATTACTAAATAATTCTATATTTATTAATATATATATCTATACAATCTATAGATTTTTATATATTTTCTATATTTTCTTTTTCTGTTCTTATTCTATCTAATTTTTCTTATTCTATTGCTTAATCTAATTTAACAATATCAGAATCAAGTGTAGTCAATTTAGCATTTGTATATGTCTTAAATGTATTATGCTATTCATTGTGTTTATTTTCCAAATCTATTTAAATTAGATTAAATTGTAACTTGAAATATTTGTATTGTTTGTTTTTTGAAATGTTTATATTTTTCCATTCAATTCTACAGCCAATTTAACAAACATCTATTTTGTTTAAGTGATTTTACTATTAAATTATAATTATATATATAATACTCATAAACTTCATCAAATTTAGCTTATAAATCTGCTTTGGCTTATTCTCTATTCTTTTTCATAATTTCATAATCTTATTAAAGTTATACAATATCTTTATCTAATGGTTTGATATTGCCTGTTATTTTAAATGTATTTGTAGTAAGTGCAGCTGTTGTCTCCATTACAAAATATTATAATTTATATATTATATATATATATAATTTTCATTTTAAAATTAAATATATAGAAATAATTAATAAAATAATAATAGATGTGATAACACCATATTATAATATATCTTCTGTATCATCCACCTTTGGTTCAAAATGATTAAGTTTTGTTAAAATAGTTTCTTTAGTTTATATAGGAGAATCTAAATCAGTTTCTCCTAATTATATTAAATGAGATCTTGGTAATATCTACATTTAAATTAATTCCATTTTAGATGCTGAAAAAGTTGAATAATTTTTAGTTAAACCTAAAGTACTTTATTTAAGAATATCTAATTTAGGTATGATCTCATCATCACTTGGTGCTCCTAAAGAACCTTAATCATATTCATAATGTCTTTCTGATGATTTTAACAAATTACTAATATCCCAAAGATATTTATCATTTAATTCTTATTATGAATATTAAACAAAATTTTAATCTTTAGAAAATCTACTTATAGCTAATTTTAAAGTATTATTGCATTACTCCTGATCAGCATTCTAAAATGTCATAATTAAATAATAGCATTCTATTATAAATAATAATAATAAATACAATCAGATTTGTTATACATTCCATGCCATTCTGCTCTAGAATTTATTTTTTCAATAAATAAATAATTTTAATCAGGTTATTTAGATTTTAAATTGAGAAGTTTCTCAATATTATTAATTGTTTAAGTAAATGCTTATTTGGAACCTCTACGAATTTAAAATATGATTTTTTGCAATTTAATACTGTATATTACAAATCCTCTATAAACTCCAAATTCTACATATTCTCTATCTGTAGTTTTTGTTTGAGCTAGATCTCTCTAATTATTAAATATATAATATTTACAGTATCATTTTTAGATGGTTATTATTGTATATTTGATCTAAATGAACTTTAAGGATTGGATCTATAAATTATGATTAGATATACTTAATAGGATTAAATGTTATAATTTTGCTACCTGCTAATTCATCATCTGATGGATTACCCATAATTCCTTCATTTTCAATATATTAACTTTCCAATATGTCTATCAGTTTTCTAATTTCTGTTCTTTTCAGTTAATCTAATTGTTCAGAAGTTAACTATTTATCTTAAGAGATTTACATGTTAATAATTAGGTATAGTAGATACTAGTTTAATTATTTGATTTAAAGCATCATTCACTAATTGTATATTACTTTAGGGAAAAAGCATAAATAAAAAATAACACTCTAGAAATATGTTATATTTAAATTACATTAATGTTAATCTAAGATTCCAAACCATTCTGAATAGGAATTCTTATAATTTAATTATTTAGAATTAGTTTAGAAACATGTTTCAGCTTAATCTTTAACATCTTGATAAGAGGATTCATAAGACTTATTACAACGTCTTTTCTGAATGTGAATGAATTCTTATCTATTACAATTAAATATAGCAAAGCATCGATAAACCTTACCTCTATTTTTGTTATTCTCTCTTATTATACTCATTAATTTATTATTTATAAAAGTTATTTAACATACTTTTATATAGAAATATTCATTAATTAGATTTTAGATCAAAGAACTATCATTTATTAGTATAATAATTAAGTAAATATAAATGAAAATTTATTTATAATATATCCTTAAGCTTTAGTTTCAAATGTTATGTATTCTTTATTTAAATTAGTGTTCTTGAGTCATTGATCTTAATTAATTCTTTAAACCTTAAGTATTCTATACTTTATTCATATCCAAATATTGATGTGGATTATTTAAAGCATCTATAATAAATTTATCCCATAATGAATTTGGAATCTTTCTTTATATCATTTCCTTATGTAAAATACATAAAGGTATTTTTTATGATGGATGAGTATTAGGTAATTTAGTTTTTTATGCTAAACATTTAGAATAGAATATTCTTTATTACTAATTATATTGATTTGAGTTATTAAGATCATTATCATTTTAATTTGCCTCACTTTCATCTAATTATGATGTTGATATCTTAGTTAATATCTCACTTTTCATATCATATAATTAATTTCTATCTTAACTACCAGAAAATTTAGTTATTATTGTAGGTCTTCCATATGGAGAATTTTAAAATTATGATGATGATGGTGGTGGTAATTATGAGTTTCTATTTTATTCTGAAGGTAATTAAGAACCTCTGCTTTATTCTGAAGACTATTAAAAAAGATAAGTTGATGATTATGATTGACTGTTATAATTATTACTAATTTATTTATTATTTATGTTATTGCTTTATTATTTACTATTTATTTAATTGTTATTGAACTTATTAATATCAACTCTAGGAGTACGAATCTCCTTTTCTAATTAAGTTTATTTTTACAATCCTAAAGAATGCAATCTTTCTAAATATAATGCTATAGCTAATGAACCACGATAAGATTCTGTCATTGTTCGTAATTCTTAATTTAAATCTTACAATTTTCTCAATTCAATTTAATTTGTGTTTTAAATTGTCTATATTTATTCACACATTTCATCTGCTCTTATTAAATACTTACTATTTTCTTATTTTTATTCTTTTGAATTTAATTGCTATATAGAATCTCTTAACTTTTAAATCTTAAAATTTATTTCATCTAGAATCCTATTTGATTTTAGTACTGCAGTCACACTCTTTGAAACACTAAGACATTTCATTGTATGTTAATCAATCTCATTAATAGGTATCAAATTCTCACAATTCATACAAGGAACTGAATATATAGCTGCTGCACTTGTTTTTGTTACTCTATATTACTAATCAAGATTCTTAGTACTCTAACTATTAGGCTTAGCTGATCTTTAAGAAAAATAATCAGTTTACATTATATTAATTTTAATATATATCCATAAGAATCAACAGCATCCCTCCTATTTTTTATTTTTTTTATGGTTGTTAATACACTGTTTAAAGTTTCAGATTTTGTGAATCTTATTGCAATGTTTATTATTTTTATACATTAGCAATTCCAGGACCTACTTTGATTCCATATATCTAATAGATTTATAATTTTTATACTTCTAAAGAAGTATCTATTTCACCAGATTCAATCTTTTACAATATAATTTAAGCCATAGTTTCAAATAATGTATCTACATTTTATCCTGTTTTTGCTTATGTTTCAAAATATGCTAAATCATTTTCTTTAGCAAATTTTTACGCTTCATCAGTTGTTATTATTTATCTACAGTATAATGATGAATATTTGTACTTTCCATCTATATCTATTGTATTTGCAACTAGTGCTATTTGTATTTTATCACAAGCATAACCCTTAATATCCTAATACTATTTTGTAACTACTTAAAAGGAGGGATCTTGATGTCACATCAAATACAAGAATGGCACCAATAGATCTAATTTATTTAAGTTTAGTAACCCTCTATAATATGAACGTGTAATTGATTAAAATGTTTCTTATCCAGAAGTATCCCAAAGCTACAATTGAATAGATTTATCATTAATTTTAGTGGTTTTTGATCCAAATTCAACACCAATAGTTGTATCATATTCATTTCTGAATTTAGAATCAATGAATTGAATAAGAAGACAACTTTTTACCAACACCTTTAATATAGTATTGATTGGGATTTAAATTTATCACCGATGATAATGAATTTCATAAGATAATCATAATTGTTCATTAATTATATCAATTAAGTGCATCAGTCAAAAATTTACATAAACCTTTTGGATAAGATTTAAGTTATTCAATCAACGGTAGCTACTTACTGTATAAGTTGGCATATTATTATATTTGATGCTTTTGTAATCTATATTTATTAGAATTTTCAAGGCTATGTACATCTAAAGTCATTTGATCAAGTTATTGGAACCACTATGCAATTTCTGAAAACTCATGAATGACTAATATTTAAGATTGAAATTAATCTAGTATTTTTATAACCAATGATGGTAAGTAAAATATACCTTCAACAATGATGTAATCCCAGAATCTGAGACAATATTGCAATTAAAAATTATACAAAAAGAGTGTTAATATAATTTTGGTAAGCCAAAATGATTCTGGATAATTGAGTTATCTATATAAATGTTTATATAATTAAGGAAGGTGAATTTACAATTATTTCTAAGTAATAAATTCTAAAAATCCAAGCAATTGAAAATTTGAATCATAATTAAAATAGAGCATAAATTTAGGATGTGACAATAGAGTTACTAGACATTAATAACTGTAATATTCATCACCACCAGAGACTAGTAGTAGGAATCCAGCTATGAAATTCATACCTTAACAATAACCTAATTTTGGATAATAGTTAGATAATGCCTATAGAATTTTATATAATTATAAATGTCCTATAGTATAATCATCATTAGTTGATTAAAAGAAAGGATGATTTATAAGGGTTCTTTTTATGTCTTTATTGATAAGTTCTGAAGATCCTTTATAATTGTAAGGATATTCATTTTACAATATTATGGATTTCCAAGCTGCCCATCTAAGTTTAGAGGGTGGTCCTTATCTTACTAGATTGATATAATGTTATTTGCTCATTATATAATATGTTTTTAGTGATTTTTCTAATGGAAATGTACAATGATGATATTTTTGTATGAGTTCTGATTCAAGATCATAATCTTCAAAGTTAGTAGTCTATAGAATGATCTTCCATTCCTATTATTTGTAATGATCTGAGTCTGTACGATTCAAATATGGTCCAATCTCATGTTTTTATTAATATGAATTTCTTTCAGACTAAGTGAATGATGTAGGAGGAATAAGTGGAGGTATTTATTTTTTATGACAACTAGAAAGTAAATTGGACTGACCCATTTTTCAAAATCCTAAATAAGATTTCGCTATTTGAGGTGTAAAGTTTCAAATAAAATATTTATGTAAAAAATAAGTGATTTACCAAAGAGACCTGCAAGATCATAAAGATTGGAACAAATAAGCAGACGTATAAATCTGATATCTAATCACTTTCCTATAAAGTTTATATAGTAAAATCAAGCGATTAATATTTACGCAATTGATTTTGATCCACCAATAGCAGATGATGCAAGAAAATTAAGAGAAGAAATAATTAGATAGGCAACTAAAAATCTTTAAATTTAAGGACTCACAGAATTCACAGTAATAAATATTAAATTGATTAAAGTTAAGAGGAAAGAACATCTGGTCATCTTTTAATATCAAAGATCGTCTAATTGCCAAAGCTACTTTTTAAGAATAAGAATATATTGTAATTGTTGAACACAAGAAGGAATACACTTTACAAGATCTTTCAGAAACAGTAACTAATCCAGTTACATAATCAATAAATGTTGCAGTTAAAAAATCATTAAAAGAGATGGGTATGATTGAAATTGGTAGATAATCTAAATTCTATGATCCAAGAAATATTGAATGCAATAGAGTATTTATAATAAAAATACTAGATTAATGAACATGGTTTAAAAGTATGGAGAGGAGTCAAGACTTCCTTTTAAATATATTAAGGAATGCCTTTTCTCTAAATAGATTTTGCATCAAGAGTTCTTAGAGATCAAACTGCTTTACAATTTATGTTCAGTTTAAACACTAGAAATATTTAAGACATAAAAAATGATATGATTGGTTTGAGTGTATTAGCAGCCTATGGAAATTGTAGAATATATAGAATAGATGAAATTGATTTCAGTCTATCACCTTTAAATTCATTTTAATTATAAGATGGAAAGTCTATCACTTATTAAGAATATTACAAATAAAGATATAATATATAAATTAGAGATCTTTAATAACCTCTTTTAATGTATAGAGATAAAAGAAATATAGATAAAATAGCCTATTTAGTACCTGAATTAATGATTATGACAGGATTGACTGATCGATAAAGAAGTGATTATAAATGTATGTAAAGTGTTGCTAAATATACAAAATTGACACCATAATAAAGAGATGATGAAATATATGGATTCTATTAGAATCTAAAAAAACATCTTATTAAATAGAATATTCAATTAAGTGATGATCAAAATGTTAGTGGTTTTTAAATTCAAGCACCACGAATTTATATGGGTAATAAAGAATATTAAACTGATTAAAGTGGATTTTTTATGGTAAAAGATCCTGTCTTTTAAGGATCTCATATTCAAGATTGGTTTATGGTTTATTAATCAAGAGGAAAGAATGATGATGATGATGTTGATTTTATAGTTTAAGAATTATAAAAATAAGGAGAAAGAATAGGAATTAGAATAGAGAAACCATATTATGTTATGCTTAAAGATAATAATGTATAAAATTGGTTATAGAGATTAACAGCTGAAATTGGAGATAAACCTCCATAAATAATAGTTACTTTTGTTAATGAAAGAGATAAAGATAGAATTTATGGACATATCAAGAAGTATTGTTTTCAAGATTAAGGGATAAGTCATCAAAATATACTTAGTAAATTCTTAAAAACAAAAAATCCATCTAGTGTTGCTTCAAAAATAGCTTAATAAATGAGTATTAAATTAGGTAATCCTTTATGGACTATTCCAAAACCAAATGGAATTTCAGATAAAACTATGATTGTAGGCATAGATATATATCATAAATTATTATCTAATAAGAGATCTTGTATGGGATTTGTTGCTTATTTGGAATCTGAATGTTTAAATACATTTGCAAAACCAATAATTATGAGAGAAGGTTAGGAATTATGTCATGAAGTAGGTAGAGCAATTGTAGAAGCTATTTCTGCTTATTTTGAAAGGAATGGAAAAAAATATTTACCTGATACTATAATTGTATTTAGAGATGGAGTTGGTAATGCTTAAATTGAAGCACTTAAATAAACTGAAATATAATAAATGAAAAATGCAATAAAAAGTATCAATAAGAATTATAATCCATAATTTGCTGTTATTATGATTAATAAGAAAATTAATGATCGTTTTTTTATGGTTAATGGTGGAGGATAATAATAATAATAATAAAAAATATAACTTACAAATCCACCTTCAGGAACTGTAATTGCAGATAAAATTACATCATCTTATTTTGATTATTTCATTACTGCTTAATATGTTACATAAGGTACTTGTACTCCAACTCATTATAGAGTATTAGAAAATACTACTAATTGGAGTGAAGAATTATTTTGGTAATTAACTTATTATTAATGTTTTAATTATTAGAATTGGACTGGAGCAGTTAGGTATTTATTATATTATTAATATTTAGAGTACCATCATGTGTATAATATGCACATAAATTAGCATATCTAATTGGAGACACTTATTAAGGAAGTATTCATAAAAGATTGGCACATTTATAATGTTGTCTATGATTATTTCATTTATATTTCTTATATAAGTTAAATTTTATAAAATTTACTTATTTAATATATAAATTATCATTAAAATGTAGTAATATCAAAAAACCTTCATTGGAAAACCTATAGATCGAAATCTAATTGCTAGATCTACTCTTAAGTTACCATAAATTAGGTAAAATGTCTCAATTTATTAGAGTATTGGAATAATGAATATCCCAAATAGATCATCAGAACATATTCGTAATTCACGCTTACATACTAAAACAAAAACTCGAGATACTATTAAGGCAGTTGTTAAAGAACGTCCTCATTTTAAGTAGTTGCCTACTGATAGAACTATGCCTACATTACCATCGTTAAATTCTCCAAGGTCTGAAGATGAGGGAGAATCAACTCATAAAAGTTAGTTTTCAATTAGAAGAACTGTTATTGATACACTCTCATTGCGTTAATCTCGAAGGACTAGTGTAGAGAAAGAAAAGTTTAAGGAAGAAAAGAAAGAGGAAAAGAATGAAGAAGAAAGAGCTGATGCAAAATAATTAAATAGACACTATGTATAGAACTAATTATTAATTCATCAACAATTAAGCAAATCCCATGATGAACTTATTTAAAATAATGAAAATTTAGATGAAGTCTTAGAGGAACCAATAGAAGAAATACGACCAAAGAAAGAATCATAATCAATTAGACCAAAAAATGAAAGTGTTTCTTCACAATTCACATAAATTACTGATGAAATACATTCAGTATGGGATAACGTTGATTTGTATTTGAGAGGAATACAATTTGATGAATTTGATTAATAAGCTTAATTACAATCATTTTTGTAACTTTACAAAATGAGAAGTGGAGGATTCCCTGTAAGTTACTCATGATTAAATAAGGGCTAAAGAGAGAACTTGTCAAATGAAGAAGTAATCAGAAGAGCTGCTGAATATGCTAAAGGCAATAGACAAGTATTTAAGAAATATTTTCCAACTAAATAAGTAGTTTTTGAAAATGATGAAGATTACACATAATCATATGATGTTAATAGTGATGCTAATTTTTAAAAATTCTAAAAGTATATTCAGAAATATAATCAATAATGAGAATACTAATGAATTATATCTCATAATCATAATTAACAATATCAATTTATAATTCATAATGAGTACACATGAAATTCTACTCCATCTCCCTTATAAAACTTATTTTAAAATTCCACCCTTTTTTTATAGATATTATATAATACCAATGTAATCTTAAAGAATGTAAAAAACATTCCATCGTATCCATACACATTAATACACCAAAACTCACTAAAGCCCAAATTGGATATCTTAATAATGCCTTTATTTATTATAATAATTCTACCCCTATTATACTTCCTTCAGTCATTGGACTTGACAATATCAATGAATAAAAAACATCTGCCAATTAAGAATGTGCTAAACTTAATGCCCATAATCTCAAATAACTAGCTGTATTAGATATCACACCCAAAACAAATTCTATTGTTTCTATTGTTTCATGGACTACTAATTCTGTAAATTCTTCATCTGGACTTAAATCATTATGATCATGTGTTGATAATAATGATTTCTCTTATTGAGTTTCATCTTATATAGATTATAGTTGTAATTCAATCACTTAAGATCCTTCTATAGATGATGTACTATTTTATATTTTTACATTGCTCCTTCTCTAATATACTTGATAACCCTTGATTATATGTGAAAACCACATCCAAGGAATACTTACAACTGCTATAATAATTAATATTGATTATATCAATTCTTAAGAATTAACATTCCACATTGGTGGACCCTCCACTGATCCAAATGATAAAACCATTGTAATCATTGTATTTATAATACTTGGAGCATTTTATGGACTAAATTATACTACCCATTTAAATATTATCAAAAAATCCATATAACCAATTGTAGAAGTAAGAAAAAGAATCTGAGGCAAGAATTTACAACAAAATCCATAAGTATCCTTTTTATTTAAGAAATTACATCCTGATAAACAAATACCTAAACACATATGAAAATAAGCAATAATAACGCTTAATTTCATTTTAAAAGAATCATCAAATTCTAAATTATCCCCCCAAATTGGATCTAATCCAAATGGATAAGTGCAATCCTATGGTTTAATTGGAGTCAATTATCCATCAACAACATAACATGATCCAAAAAGATTTAAGGATAAACTTACAAAATCATTGTAGATCCAACCACAATAAAAACTGAAAAATCCCATTAATACAATCAAGTATCTCAATTCATAAAAGGGTTCAAGTTTATAAAAGATATTATAAATTCCAAAAATTAGTAAACAAAAACCATGTCCAATATCACCAAACATAATTCCAAATAAAAAAGGAAAGGTTATAATAGTAAAAATAGCAGGATTAATTTCTCTATATCTAGCAATTCCATATGTATTTACTATTTATTAGAATACTGAAGTGAATTCATTTAATAAAAAATAAGTTGGTGGAATTGTTTGAGGTACTTTTTATGAAATTTAACAACCTGGAATATCTCTATTTCTTTCTTTAACAATTAAAAGAACTTCATTTAATTAAGCACTATCCTTTTTAGGAATCCACAATTCCCCCAAAAATAGATTGCCTTACATTTTCAATTTATTTAATTGAATATAAAGTTATTTCTCCTTGGATATATACATATTATAATGATCTATTAGTCTTATTCCTTCTGTTTATTTAAGTAATTCTTGAATAAATGAATTTAATTGTATATTAGTTAATTCTATAAGCTTGATAAGACAGCAATAAATACTTATTTAATTTCTTTGAGTTTGACAGTTAAATCATTTTAAATTTTATCAAATTCCTTAAGATTAATTGGTAATGTGAATCTATTGAGAGACATGGATTCTTAAACCTTTTATAATTTCTTCTTTAAGATGACTCCTTGATCTGGATACATTACAATATATATTGCTTTTTAATTTTATAATTTGATGTGAACATATGCATTTCCTTTGGTTACTCTGAATATCATTCTTTAAAATCTAGAAAATAATACAATAAATTACTAATATATTTCTTCTTATTTCATTGTACCTATAAAATAATCAAATTTAGAATCTCTAGAAACAAAAAAGTCATCTCCTAAGTATATTCTGCATTCTTATAAAATATCCAATTAATCAAGTATTATGCCTTATTATTCAAGTAATTATTCATGATTTCTATTAAGCTCTAAGAATGAATTGACTTTAGCATTGATTTAATCTTCTAATGTATCTAAATATTAATGTGTATGAATTTTGGGACACATCTTATTATTTGTTTTGTTAGAGATTTGAAACTGTTTGACGATTGTTAATTTTTATGCTGTTTCTATTAACAAATTCAATTTGTTTAGTAAATCATCACATCTTGATAAGGATTAATTTTTTACCTTTTTATGTAATTTGCAAATGGTCTCGCAATAAGTGGAATAGAGGGATCATGATCAATGATTTCTACTTTTCCCATGTATCCCAATTGATCCATTACAGCCCAAGCACTTTCCCTAGGCATAATAAGTTGAAACAAAGACATTTCTTATGATCTTAACATATTATAATTAATTATTATAATTCTATTTATTTTAAAGAGAATGTAGTTGACCACATAATATTATAATTATGTTTGATTCTTCCGATAGTATAATTCGAAATAATTTACCCGATGGAGAATTCAAAGGCCCTATTCATCATCTTTTGAGTAACAGAGTAGTGTTGCAAGAAGGTGATATTTAGGGAGGAAGCTTTAATTCTTTTACAGTACCTGAAAACATTATCTTGTAAAATACCCCTCCTCGAACTCCCAAGAATATGGAGAGATTCAAAACTATGGGAGGAAGAAAGTCTGAATTTCAATCTGCCTATGAAGGAGAAGAAGTTGATTCTGTAAAGGATAGCAAGCCTTAATTTTTGAGATTGATAATAGCAAAAAGTTTACAAAATAACTTCATCAACAATCTTTGGAATAGATCTTATTTAAGAAAACTTCATTAATTGTCTGCTTATTAAATTGAATAGCTAGATGATTTATAATTTGAATCAGATGCCTTTTCAAATATAACTCATTTAAATTAGAGATCCTTAATTCAATCTCTAGCATTCTGGAACTTAATTGATGTATTTACTCCTTATAGCAAATTCATTGTAATTTGGGATGTCTTCCAAATTCTTACATATATTATGATCTTTTTTTGGTTACCTTACAAGATCTCATTTGAAATATATTATATAAGTGAATTATTTAATGGAGACAATGACAGCTAAATTATAGAAATAGTGCTTCTCTCAATTTTGGCACTGGATGTAGTTGTTGGACTCAATTTGGCATTTATTTATAAAGGATAAATTATAAAGGATCGGAAAAGAGTAATCATTAATTATTTCAATTAATATGCATTTGTTGATTTGGTAAATATTACATTTTATTTATGGTCTCCTTATCCACAGTTTCAGCTTAATTCTTCATTCCATACCTTAGTTCTAAAGACAGCAACATGCTAATCATTCAAATAGTACTAGGTGCAATCTTTTACATTCTCAGAATTACAAAAATCAATAAAATTTTAGCTTAAATCTAAGAGTAATTATAATTCTATCTAGATTCTTTAATCTCAATGGATCACTTAATGATATGGTTGGTCTTATGAAATTACTAATGATCATCATATTTATAGCACATATCTGTGGATGTACATGGCATGGTATAGCTCATTACACTTCAGCTTATTCTTGGTTGGATGCCTACAACCTAAGAGAGAGAACCAATGGCACACGATATAATTATTCAATTTATTGGGCAACCATGACAATGACAACTGTTGGTTATGGAGATATTACAGCCCAAAATGACCTCGAATTATTAATTAATAACATAACTATGTTTGTAGCAAGCATAGTTTTTGCATATTCTGTTAATAGTATAGGAATATTTGTGTCTAATATGTATAAAGGTACAATGGAATACAGTAGATCAGTTACTCTGATAAATACATTTATGTCTAAGAATAAAATTTAATTTGATTTACAGACTAGAATAAGAAGTTATTTAGAGTATATTTGGCAAGAAGAATAAGAAATGAATGATGATGAAGTTGGTTCTATTGTAAAAAAGTTGAGTAGGCATCTTTAAGATGAATTACAATATTAATTAAGAGGAAATATTCTAAAGAATTGTAAGATTGTTATGAAATTGTTTTCTGAACAATTCCTCAAGAATCTCCTTCAGTCTATGGAGGAATTATCATTTAGTCCAGAAGAGAGAATAATTACATGTAATTAATTAGATGATTGTTCATTATATATAATTACTAAAGGAGAAGTTGAATTATTATTCTCAGGTAAAAATTAATTAGGAGATATGATAAAGAGAAATTCGATCAAATTACTCAAATAATATGAATGTTTTGGGGAAGTTGCATTTTTCACAGGAAATCCTAGAACAGCTACTGCAATTTCTAAAGGGTTTACTAGAGCATTTAAAATAAAAAGAGAAAACTTTTTAGCTATTTTATAATCATTTCCAAATGATTATGAAAAGTTTTGTGATGCCAGAGATAGATTAATTAATAATGAATTCTCATCTCTTTAATTAAATTGTTATAGTTGTAATAGTAATAGACATCTTATAAATAATTGTCATATTTTACATTTTTGTGCTGATCAAGAAAAGATACTTAAAAAAGAATTATTTCCAGTAGAATAAAGAAGAAGCATGGCATTCAATAGAATAAAAAAAACAAAGGCAGTTTGTGCATTTACTATGTAGAAATATTATTCAGGAAGAGCACATGATTTAATTTAAGATCTGTATCAATAAGATAGAGGTGGAACTGATATAGATGATGGAGATTCACATACAATGCCAATGAATGATGCATATGAAGATGATGATGGTAAAATGATAATTTTAATTATAAGATTTACCTTCATCTATGAATCAATAAAGAAGTTAATCAAGAACAATGAGTAAATTAAGTTCAAAATAACCACAATAATAAGAAGGTGAAGATGAAGAATAATAAAATAAAGGATATCTTCGTAAATCATATCCTCCAAGATAGACTGTTTAAACAGCTGGATTTGGAGGTAATACAAAAAATAAAGATAGTATTATATTAATATAATAATAATAATAGTTACATGGAATGTAGAATAATTAAGTGATTCTTTAAATTCATCAGAAGAATAAGATTAAGTTATACCATTATAATCACATCCTTTATAAAAATAAAACGAATAGAATAATAAATAATAACCAATAAAAAGATAACTCTCAAGAAGTGGCTCAGCTGATGATCCTTCTAAAGTTCCTACAGAAATTCGCCTTGCTAAATAGTAAATTTCATAGAAAAATCAATCTGATCTTGAAATTCGTCATGCCTTATCAAGAGAATAAGCAAGAAAAATAACAGGTAGAACAAGAACACATAATGATGATCCAACTTTGATCACTGATAATTTAACTTAAAATAATGCAGGTTAATTATTATAAGCTCCTACTATTACTACAATTGTCTTAGCTTTTGATAAAATGTGTATCTTTTAATATTATTAACCATTAAATAATTATGATGCTGTAATCAAAAGGTATATATATGTATTTAATATTTATTAAGATATGCAAGAGCATAAAAATTCTTTGGTAAGAAGAGATTATATCCTGAGACATCTCTATATTCATTCTATTTTATGGCAATTAAAAAAGGATATAAACTAAAAAAATTAGGATAATCGATTCCTAATGGATTATAAAGATTCTCTGCTGGTGCTAAATTACTAAAAAAAGCAGTAAAAAGAATAAAATAACCTACATTAGCAGAAAAAAGTGATATTTTTGTTTAAATTAAATGAATTATCTAATTTAAATATTATCTCTATTAATTTATAACATATATAAATAAAATCAAATATAAACTTATGTTATAAGATGAGTTTATGTTTACAATTTAATAATCAACTAAAATTGAATTTAATATATATAGATTAAATAATGGATAAGAAAGAAAATTGCTTTATATATTTATCAAATAAAAATTAATGAGTCACCTTGATTTTCTAAACTAAAAAAACTAAAAAAGGAATCTCCCATTTCAATTATTTCTGTTGGTTCAAATCTACAAACAATGTGTCTATTTTCATTTATAATTCTTAAACATTATTATAAGGGCATAAATTAAAAAGTTAAATTATCCCCTTCACTAAATGTAAAATTACCTTTTCTTAATAATTTATATTTATTTTCATTCCATTCTTTTCTTTTTATTTCTCCTGATTTATTTATAATAAAATCAATTGAATAATGACATAATGAAGAACAAATACCAATTAATAAATTACCTTTCAAAGTTTATATTCTCATTCTCCAAATAATACCTTGAACTGCTTATGTTTTTACTTTATGATTAATATAAAAATGAAGAAAATCATTTTTTTATTTTTACAAATTGAATGATGGATGAATTAATTTTGCTTCAATAGCTTAGGTACCAGTAAATTAATAATTTTAAGTAAACATTGTTTTAAATGAAAATTAATGAATAGTATCAAAAGATTCTCCTTTTAACATTTTACATATTTTTTATTCTAAATATTAATTTTTTTGATTTAATTCTTCAATCTTTTTATATAATTAATCAATTTGATTGTCTTTATTATTAAATTAATTTTATACACAATCCTAGAATAAAGATAATTATTTTACATCAATAGAATGAATTTAGAATTGTTTCCTTGACATTTTATTTTAACATTTAGTACATTCTATAGTAATTTATTCACATTAATTTTCATGTTACTCTAATTCATTTTACAATTATTATAATCCACAACCAGAGCAATTTATTCTTCTAAAAAGACATTAAAAAATATGTTTTTAAAACTACTCATATCGAGACTTTATTGTACATTCTTCATATATACAACTCAATTATATTGAATCTAATAAATTGTGTATTATAGGTATAGATGTCTTTTTAAATGGTCTTTTGCATTTGGGACAATTATGCTAAGTAGTTTCTATTTATATTTATTAAGGCATTTCAGAAAAAGAACTAGATTAAGAACTGTATTGTGATCCAGAGCCAGAATCAGGAGCAATAATTAAAGATTAGGAATAAAGTGATTCTTATAGGACTGCATCCCCAGCTTAATCTTGAATCCATTTATTTATGCAAACTTCACAATATGATTAGAAACATTTATCTTATCCACAAGCAACTGGTTTCCATAAAATATTTAAACAAATAGGACAAAGTAAATGATCAACTTCTATTTTTGATTAATAGAGTAAATGTTTAGGAATTCCGCTATTTTTTAATAGTTCCAATGGATTTAATATATTACTAGACTCTGTTTACATTATAATTTATAATTATATTATAATTATGTAATCACAATTAACTCCGAAATAATTCTGAGTATCTAACAACCTTTTTAGACTCTAGATGATTCATCTTTCTTTTGATATTTGCTAATTCTACCAAAGAAACGACACTTTTAGTAGCTTAGCCTTTAGTACTTAAATATTGAGTTGAACCAGCTAAACCTTTAAAGGTTTCTCTAAATTAACAATTTTTAGGAGATTTTTCAGTTTTAGATGGCAATTATTCAGAGATATATTTTCTTGATTTTAATTATTATTAAGCTGTTTCCTATTCTTTTTAATTATCATCCATAATCACTTTTATAGCCTTTTTAAAATATGTAAATAATATACATTTAAATTAGTTTGAATCATTTATCGAATAATTTATTCTTCATTAATTTATTATTGTTTTTGTTCTTCTTTTTAACCAGATATTTTTTAATATAATTTCATTAAAGCTGATTCCTCTTCTAAATTTTATAATTTCTTTTTTGTTTTTTTTAAACCTAAAGTATTACTATGTTTGATAAGCATCTTTCTAAATGGAGATTTAATTGTAGATTTAGGTTTGAGTGATTACTCAAATAATTACTATTATTATCTTTTCTTCTTTAATCTTTCTTAAGCTTCCAAGTACCCTGAAATTAATTAAAATTCTGTTTTAATTTCATTATTCAACTATTTTAAAGAATCAGTTTCTTTAGGTTCAGCTATGGCATTTTTACTAAATTATCTTTTAAACAACAATATAGCTTTACCTAATTCACAATCTTATTATTATCTTTGATTTTCATTAAGTTCATCCTTACAAGTTCTTTAAATATCAACAAGTGAATAGAATGCTTATTCTTTTTTCAATTGATTTACTATAACACCTGCTAATTCTGAATCCAATTTAGGGTAATCAGATTATTCAGTTTTACAATATTATGTAAAATCTGTTGGTCTTGTTCTTCTTGAAAATGATGATATAGAATTCTATTTAATCAATTTTGATTCACTTTCAGAAGTTATTAATTTATGTTAATCATTACCATCTTGAGTAGTAAACGATTAATAATTTTTTGAAATCTATTATTGTGCAAGTTCTCTTTCTGTTTTACTACCTTTAGGTACATTATATAATAAATAGGGAGAAGGAGGTTTAATAGGAACAGGATTTAATTTAAAATACTATTATTTATTAAGTTGTTCCATTTTAAATTTGAGATAGAATTTTTCATTTAGTATTTTTTAATAATCATCTTTAACTTATGATTAAATTACTTTCATTTCAGGATTAGTATCATCTGATAAAAATGTAAATATCATGTGTCTAATTTCACATTCAGCCAAGATATTATCAATATATTTTTATATATCTTAAGCTCTACTAAAGATTAAAATTCTTAATTGATGTTCATCTTCTAATCTCAATATTTCAGTACAAAACCATTAAGCTAAATGTATACATTCCTTCATTTTTGAATATTCAGAGAGATATTCATAACACAATGATTAAAGATATAAAATCATTACTATTTTCATAATGTATTATGTAACAGGTTTTAGATCTGAATCATCAATAACATTTGGAGTATTTCTTTTTTTTAAGATTAAGAAAATTAATTATTACAAATAAGAATAAGCTATTTAGTATTATTTTAATGATTTTTTAAACTCGCACAATTAAAAATATAATTATCCAAAATTTTAGTAATGATCAACGAATATCTTGATTAATTCAACATTTTTTGTATATTTCATTTCTTTAATTTATATAATCTTTTCTATTTTATACATTATTTTCAAACTATTCTACACTTCATTAGTAATTTTAAATAATCTTGCATATATAATTAGTTATTTCATTAATAATGTAAAACATTCATTCAAATAAAACTTAACTATTTATATATATATATAATTTATACTTTTATTTTTCTCTTTCAATTTATTTAGATGGGTTACCTTTATTAAACTACCAGGTATACAAATTGTTTATTGAATTCTTTGTCTTAATCTATTCAAACCTATCTTTTATTCAATCTAAGCAGAATTTAATTCTTCAAAATGTTCAGTTCCTCTCTCATTTTTTAGCATTCTTTGAATATTAATATAAATGACAGCTGTATATAAATTACATCTATCAAGTAATAAATCTACTTTCTATATATTCTCTCCTTATATATTTTCATTCAACAAATTTTAAGCTGCTCTAATCAATCTTCTGCTTATTTATATATTGAGTGCGCCCATTTGATTATGAGAGTAACTCATAAAATGTTTGTCTAGTAACAAGATTACCTTTCGATTCCCATTCTTGTATATATAATTATAATACCTTTTTTAATAAACCAGAAGCATCATTTATAATATTTTCAATTGGGTATTTCTTCATAACTGGTGATTCAGATTCAGATTCCATTATTAATTATTAATTATATATTTATTTAATCATTATTCAAATTTAAAATTTAGATATTTGTTGAGATACCTAAATTTGCAGTTTAGATTGATTTATATATTTATTTTATGGATATCATTCTAAACTTAATTTAACTATTTTTATAACATTTATCTCCTCTAATAAATCCCCTAACATGAACAAAACAATATTAACTATACTCTCCATTCTTATTTCTTCTATTTTAAAATCAATCCTATTTAAATGAGATACTCTCCTAAAATATAGTTTCAGATATATCATATTTAGAGACCTTTTATAAACCTTTTCCTAAGTAATGAGATTCCACTTTTGTTTAGATATGATATATTATAACTCTAATTAAAAAATGCTTAAAAGAATATGAAAATGATTCTTGATTCATTTTGAAGATTGCATTAACGAAGTATTTTTTAAATTTCTATCACATCTGTTAATATGTATATTTATTGATCTGATTATAATTCTATTTGTTAATTCATTAATATTGGTAGTCAATATAGTTAGGACAAAGCTTTCGTCATGATGAATTACGAGTTTCAATTTTTTTTTATTTTTGCTTTATTCTTATTAATTAAATATGAATATAATATAATTTAAAACAGTGACATCGTGGATTGTTTTGGTTTTATCAATAATAGGAGTGTTACTTTCATTGTTTTACATATACACCTTCTTTAGGATCAAAAAACTACATAAGAGTCCAGGTGATATATATTTTGGAATGTGTTTAGGAGAAATGGTTATGATGTTGCACTAGTAAGTAAAAATCAAATTTATTAGTATGACAGATTCTATAGTATTTATTATAAGTGATAGTAAATATAATACTAGTGCATTATGTTTTATTAATATTGTGGCTTTCACTTTTTCTGTCATACTTATTTATTCATATACAATTTAATTGTATATGCATATGATTGTAAGACTCATCTTTACACTTCAAGCGAAAAAAATCAATAAATGGTAAGGACATTTAGCAACTTGGTTAATTTCAATGCTTTATGCAGTTATTTCTCTAGTATCTTTTTAAGAAAGTGCTTGTGGAGTCACTCTCTCATCTACTGCACCATTTACTTTTATAATTTTATTGTTGAGCTTTTTCGCCATGGCAATTACTACTAGACAATATATCAAATAAGAATGTACTACCCATTCAAATGTATTACTTTAGCATTATCCAATAGAGTAAACTTTAAAAGGAGGGTTAAAATTTTATGTATTACATAACCAGATTATTTATTGCTTAATCTTTAATAATGACTAGTTTCATTACCTTTGCTATGGTTGCTTATCTTTTTAGTTAAATAAAGTAATTAGAGAATTGTTCTCTTAACGATAGTGATACAGCTTGGTTGGTTATACTTGGTTTTTTTGCTTAGATTTCTGCTGTTGTATATCCTATTGTTATTCCTTTAATAAGATTATTTGATCCATTTATATTCAAGCATTTGAAGAAATATTATCATCCTGATCGATTTCACTTAGAATCAAGAGATATTTCAATGATTCAACAATCATTTGAAGAAACAAGTTTGTAATTATTTAGATATTCTATTATTTATAGATAATAAAAGAAAATTAGTCTTGATGGACTTAGTTAATCCTTAATTGAACAAAATTCATTTCATGTTTCATAAGAGTTTGCATCTTTTAGAAAACCTTTTACATAATCTGATTATATAAGATCAAATACTGCTATTTCAAATGGAAGAAGTAGATAACTTACAATGTAAAATAAATAAGAAGATCCATTTATTCATTAACTTACAAATCAATTAAGAAGTGAAATTATTAAAAGAATTCTAGCCTTAATATTAATTCAAGAACATGATAAAATTAAAGCTATAAACTAAAATAAATGTTTTAAAAAGATTTTAAGACATCAAGCAAATTAAGACTATGATGATTAAGTTGTCTTTACTGTAAATGATATGTTTTTGAAAGAACATTTTAAAGATTAATTCAAAATTTAGAATAAAAAATTTAAAATGATTTCATATGCTCCTGTCATATTTGATATTCTTACGTAATAATATTTTTATTATATATTAGTAAGGAAGATTAAGAAAATTTGGATCTATTAAATTGTTTTGATCTTGAAACTAATCAAGAATAAATAAGAGAATGTGCTTAAACTACTGGTGGAAAATCTGGGGAATTCTTTTTCTTTAATCATAATAATAAAATACTCTTAAAAACAATTAGCATGTCTGAATTGCAAATATTATTAGAGATGATTGAATAGTATTTTTGGCATTGCACTAATAATCCTAATACATTAATTGCTAAGATTTTAGGAATATATACATTTGAAGGATTTGAAATTGGAAGAATTTCTATGATTCTAATGAAAAATATTGGTAAAATTAACAAAATGGCCATTAAACGAATTTTTGATTTAAAAGGATCCAGTTATGACAGAGAAGTCATTAAAACAATTAAACCATCTGGTGAATTAAATTCTTAATAATTGGAAACTATCATAACAAAAGATAAAGTATTGAAAGATTTAGATTTCTTAAAATTAGAAAAATAAATACATATAAGTCCTGAATTTTGTACCTCAATTTATGAATAATTAGAAATTGATACATTATTTTTAAAGTCATTAGGTTTTATGGATTATTCTTTATGTATTATGATTGTTGATTGGTTTAGTTTTTATGAATCTTAACTTTATCATGAAATATAAGATGAAGAAGTTATTAATAAGATAATTGGATAAAAATTAATAAGATTACAACATTGTTATCCTAGTACAATATAAAAAGGATAATATTATCATATAGGTATTATTGACTATCTTTAAAAATATAATTTGTAAAAAATTACTGAAAAATACGCTAAAAAGTTTTTAAAATTAGATTCAAATTTAGACACATCCTCATAAAACCCTTATGAATATAGGAAGAGATTCTTGACTTTTATGAAGAGAATATTATGATAGTTCTATAAATTATTTTCTCATTTATATTTCATAATAATTATTATATTTATGTTAACATTATTATATCTATTTTAGTTTTTAAGATATAATATTTTGAATCTAAGTTAAGTTAGATAAGTACAAATAAATATTTTAGCAATAAAAAATCAAATTAAAGATGAAGTAAAGCCCAATATTTGAAAACCAATTTTCTTATTTAATTTAGTAATCAAACTCATACAAAAGGCTTTATATTGATGCTAATACTACAATAAATTTTATAGCACTTTCAAATGATAATACATTATTAGCAATCTTCCATCATCATAATGGAGCAGGTTTGCTTAATGTTTGGGATCTCTCAACATAAAAAATTAAATATAATATACAAGTACCTAAATTATGGTCTGAAGATGGAATATGTATTTTTTCAAAAGATAATAAATATATTTTTTTTGGTTTATACAATGATGTTAAACTTTAAATTATATCCCTTGAATCAAGAAGGGCAAAGATAACAGATTGTAGACTAGGTGGTGCATTAAAATAAATTAAAATATCAATAAATCCAAAATATTGTTGTACTATTACTTCAGAATAATGTTTGTTATGGAACTAAGACACTAAGAAAGTTGATAAAAAAATAAAAACTAATTTAGATTTTATTTGTTGTTGCTTTAAAAATAATGATAAGGAATTAATTACAATCAGTTATTAAGAACAAGAATAAACATAATTTATTTTTTGGAATACTAAAAACTATAAAATTTTAAAGAAATGGGCAGGTAAGTATATCTCAAATCATGCTAATTGCAGTGTAATTGAAGAAAAATAAATTTTAATTGTAGATTATCAAGATGTATATGAACATTATATATAAATATGGAGTATAGTTGGGTAATGCTTAATTAGATCATTGTATTAAGCACTTGATTCTTTTTAAATTAAGAACATTTTTAATTCTAAATTAATTGTTGAATGTGAAGAAGATGAAGATGAAGAGTAAGAAGTAGATGAAAGCAGTCAAAATTAAATGATAGCATTTTTTGATATTTTAACTTTTAAATATTAAAGATTTAAGACTTTTATAGAATTAGGCAAAAGATACTTTATTCTAGATAATGCTTTGATAATTGAAAATAGAAAGAAATAATCAAATATTACAGAAATATTTATTAATTTAAAATGAAAAAGAAACTATAAAATTTGTGAGTTAATTATAGATTAATATTAAATAAGGTTTTTGATTAATATTTAATAAGAATGAATTATATATTTTTTATAGTTAATATATAAAATTTGATATGTCCACTCAAATTCCATAGCTCATGATAACTGAATAACCTATGGATGAATACTAAGATTTTATCAATTATTCACTATCTGATGTTTGTTTTTCAGTTAGTAAGTTCTAGAGTAAGGGCAATAATGTAAGTGAGAATTCTGTTGATTAAGACTACTAACAACATAATAATTCAACTCCCCTTTCTCCAAACAATATTAATTTAACTAAACCATCAAACGATTCTTCAGATCAAAAATAAATTATATAGATGCAATAAAGACCAAGTGTAAGTACAACATAAGAAAGAATATATAGAGATTTTTTTCAATATTTTCTGATTCAAAAATTTGTACATAAAATATCATTCAAAAAGAAACTAAATTCAATGTTTGATAAATATCATTTCGAAGTGATTAACGATTTAGGTGCTACTTTTAATTTAAATTTATTTAGAGAAAATACAATTAAAATGCGACCAATCATAGTTAAATAAGTTTAGTAAATAGATAACCAATTCATTATTAAGTTTAAGAAACTTCAATCTTTGTTATTATAAAAATGGAACTCTTTTCTCAACAAAATTCCATTAATATACCCAGAATCAAAATTAAAAATGCTTTGGGATGCAATTGTTACTTTGGCAAGATTTTATTTTATTTATGTAATTCCAATGGATTTAGCATGGGAAATGCAATCATTTATGTTTGATATTTTAATTATACCTACATCATTAATGCTGACTTTATTAATAATAGATTTTGTATTAAGTTTTAATAATGCCTATTATGAATTTGGATCAATAGTAACAGATCGAAAAAAAATTGCTTAATATGTTTTTACAAAAACATATGGATTGGATATATTATCAGTATTAATTCTGATAACTTTTTTGATTATTTCAATTGTTTAATCACAATAAGTAAGAATAACTGAAAATTGGTATCATCTATTGTTGTTATTATTTCTAATCTAATATAAAAATATATCTAAATTATCAGAACAAGTAGAAGAAGCTTTGAATTTATCAAAATAAGTGAGTTCATTATTAGAATTAGGTAAATTAATATTTTTACTATTCTTTGTCTTACATATATTCTCTTGCCTTTGGTTTTGGGTTGGTATTTATTCTTATAAAAATGATTACAAAACTTGGCTGAATTTAAAAAACTTAGAAGAAGCTGATTGGAATATCTAATATTTATATTCATTCTATTTTTCAACAGTTACTATGTTTACTGTTGGATATGGTGACATTACTCCACAAAGTACTTTCGAAACTGTACTTTGTATTATGTTTATGATGATTTGTAGTATTCAATTATCATACAGTGTTAGTACTGTAAGTGCAATTATTGATAAAATTTCATTTTATTCTAAAGAGAAAAGGAAGAAGGTTTAAACAATAAATACTTATATGTAGAACAAAAAGATAAGTTATGAATTGTAATTTAAAATTAGAGAATATCTTAATTATTATTGGTAATGTAATCAATAAGAAGAAACAGAAGAAGAAAAAAATATTATAAATTAATTATCTGAAAATTTAAGAGAAAGTTTACAATTTGAAGCTAATTCAATGATATTGAATAATTGTCCATTATTTAAGAATCATTTTAGTGAATAATTAAAAAAAAAGTTAGTCAAAAAAATAAAATCAATTGTAGTTTAACCAGAAAATATAATTGATTTTGATCATCTGTTTCCAAGTTAAAAAATGAATTAATTTATATGTTTTGTAGAAGAAGGAGAAATTCAAATATTTATAGAAAATGAAATGTCATAAAATCATGTTTCATTTAATTCGATATCAATAGTTAATACTGTTTCTAAAGGTAGCAGTCTTGGTTTGATGTCATTTATTACTGGAATCAAAGCAAGAGAGAGATTTAAAAGTATAGGATTTTCAAAATTATTGTTGTTGTCTAGAGATGATTTTCTTAAAATTATCCCAGAATTTCCAGAAGACTATGAAGCTTTTAGGGAAATGCATGATGATTTGATTTATAACTCAGATTCTGAGTTTCTTAAATTAGGATGTTTCTCTTGTAAAAGTGTTTCTCATAAAGTTATTGATTGTCCATTAGTTCATTTTATACCTGATAAAGAATATTTAGTAAAAAAACATTAATTTTCAAGGGATTAAAAAAGAAATGAAACTTTTAAGTTTAAATTTAGGAGAAATCCAAAAAGATAGCATGGATATTTTTCAGCTTATAATGATTTTGATTTAATTTAAGAAACTAGTGATTTATTTTAAGCTGATAATTATAAGCAATGTCTATTTTATGAGGAACTTGATGATGAAGTTGAAAGATAAAAAATACAATAAATAAATATTCCTAGACCTTCTAATTATTTTATATAGGACTCAATTAAAGAGGAACCTGAAGAAGGTGTTTTTGTGGCTATGAACTTTTTAAATTAAAGAAAAAGCTTAATAAATAAAATCACTAAAAAATCAATATCTTTGTTAGTTGATGAAGATCTAGTACCGTTATAGAATTTTAAAGGAATCAATAAATTTAAAAGAGCAGTAGAAGTTATAAAAAGTATAAACAAGCTTACAAATAGGAAAAGCTCAAAAGCTTAGACAAAAAATATTTTGGCATCTTTAAATATTGAAAACTATAAAGATTCTGAATAAAAGTAATTGTTAAATGGAATAAAGAAGAGATAAAAGTACATAGACGATCATAATATTGAATGGAGGGAATAGGATATATAAGAAATGGAATTTTTGAGGATGAGATTGGAGATGCTAATTTAACTTAATGCTTAGAAACCAGAAAAAATTGATTAGATAGAGAGTGTTAAATAATATAAGTTTTATAATATTCATAATAATGTAGATTAAATATTGACTATTTATAATGAATTTTATAAGGTCAAATTGAAAGAACAATAAAATATTCCATAAGTTTTTAAGTAATTTGTCAGATATTTGATGTATCCTTATTCATTTATTCATAAATATAAATTTAAATCAGATAATTTTAATGTAAGAGAGATTAAATAAGAGGAAACAGATTAATAAAAAAAGAAAAATAAATTCTCTAAATTGTTGACCTTACATAAATAAAGTAAAAATTTAAGAAAAAAACTAAATATAAAGAAAGCATAAATATAACCACTATGATTAAATAAATTATAATAATCATTATTATATTTCTTGCAATTATTCTCTGTAAAATAAAGAGTCAGGATGATTTTTAGGAAGTGTTTTATCTAAGATTTGAATACATTTAGTCAAACATTATTATGCTGATTAAATGTTTCCAATTTATTTTAATAAGATACCAAGATTCCCATATGTAGTGGCAACAAGAGGGTGATCGTCACCTGATTAAGATTATTTTAAAATAACTAATGCATCTGCAAAGAATTTTTAACTTTTATCATATTCTTCTAAATGTTTACAAGAATTTCCTATATTATTTAATGTTAAGGCAACTTCAACATGATTCTCTCCTAACTTACTTTTCTTAATAACCAATGCTTTTTCATATGATGATTTTGCTTAATGGTAATCTTCCATTTCAAAATATACATTTCCTAAAACTTCAATTGTAGAAGCTACTTCTAAATTTCCAGAACCTTAAAGCTTCTCTCTTATTGATAATGCTTCTTCAATATTTTTCTTAGCTTTTCCTAAAGATCCTTTCAATCTTTATATTTCTCCTAACATTGTTAAACCTTAAGCTTTTAATAATAAAGCCTAGTTTTATAATTATTAATTTTAATTATTGTAACTCAACATACTCTATTATAAATTTTAATTTCCTGAGGCATGACCTAAAATAAATGTAGAATAATACCTTCAGTAATTCTAAGTCCTTTTTTCACTCTTTTAAGAGCATGTTTATAATCACCTAATAAGGAATGAACTTTTCCTAAGTTTATACTCATTTTTGCAAATTCTAAACTATCAGATCCTTTTTCTTGTTCAGTAATTCTACATGCTTCCTCCAGAAATGAACGAGCCCTAGCTAAATTTCCTTATAATCTATATCCATTAGATAGATTTTCTAATAAAAGTGCTCCTTCATAGCTGTCATCTCCATTATGACTAAAATAAATATAAAAATAAATAAATTACGCTTTTCTAACACAATCCAAAGCTCTTTCATAATTATCTAATGCTTCATTTAATTTGTTTTGTTCTCTTAATTAATGACCAATTTCATTATATAGAATACTAGCCTTCATAAAATAATCTTAAGCACTAGTCAAATTATTAATATCAATAAATCCATTTGCAATATCAAATAGAACTTCTGCAGCATGGAAATCATCTTTATCATTCTCATAAGAGACTAATATTTCTTCCATTTTTTCAAGCCACTTTTCCCATTCAAATAGATCATAATAAGCAACAGCAATCAATTAATAAACTTTAGTAGATTCAATGCCTGCATATTTCTTCTTGTATTTCATACTTTCAACAAGATTATCTTCATTAATAGGTATTTCTGATAGATATGATTTAGTAAACAAAGATAATTCAGCAGGTGTTAAACGACTAGATTCATCACCTACCAACATAAGTTTTAGGACATCATGATAATCATTACTAGTACCTCTACTACCAGCTCTTTGATTATTAAGTTTTCTTACAACATTTCTTAATTCAGTACTTTCAAAATTGACTTCTAATTAATCCATCATCAAAATATTTAAACCTAATTAATAAACATCAGATAAAAATGGATTATATCTTCCAACAGTTTATGCTCCACTTGCATCTACATATTTTTAGATTTCAGGAGGTAAATAATCTGGTACACCTCTAATTGTATTTAATAATTCTTCATTTTCTTATTAGATATTGATTCCTAAATTATTGAGTGATAATTGGTTATGTAATGTTTATGCTTTTTTAATAAATTTAGCTTCTTCAAAACCTC